ATATATATATATATATATATATATATTTTATCACTTTAAATATTATTTTTAGTGGATACCCATATTTGAGTAGATGTTTTGCTTATTTTTTTAAACACTATTTTTGTCTACTGGTCTGAATATTTGAGAAATCTTATTAAAGAAAATGCACATTTCTTTAGGGAATTTAAATACAAGAAGGATGTGCTTAAAGGCAATATGCAACCTTGTTTAATCAATGATACTCATTGTGGCTGAGTTGGTTAAAAGCATGTCAGACCTAACAATGGTTTCTCCTGCAAAGGGGGATGCAGGTTTGCTGGGCAAATTTTCTTTAATAAGATTTCTCTTAATATTCGGGTTGGTAGACAAAAATAAAATATTGTTTAAAAAAAATAAACTGAGCATCTACTCAGATATGGGTATCCACTAAAAATAATGTTTAAAGTGATAAAAATATGTTGGATTAATAAATAAAAATCCATTATTTCTTTAGAAATATATATACACATTTATCATATGACTTTTGAAGACCTAATTTTAAAGCTAATTTTAAGGGGTTGGAGCTGTTAAAGGAAAGCTGTAATGCCTTTAGATGATTTATGTAGGGCTGAATGATGCAAATATTGTGGCAGAGTCTGTGGTCTGTCCAACAGTCTACTCCTTGCATGGTTTTTTTGATGACTGTCATAGATGTCACATTGACAATGACGTTTAGATATGGGCTGGATTTATGTTGCTTTGTATTTGTTGGCCATTCTGAGCATTGTGTTTGTTATGGTGAAGACATGCTCTGCACATTTGCTGAGAAGCATATGGCCTTTGCTGTTCATCTTCCTGACATCTGCTGAGCACTCCAGTTCACTGATCTGGTCTTGGCGGATTTGGACATTGCAATCTCTTAGCAAGATCAGCTTATTACTAGCTGGTACTATGTGTGGCATGGAGTCAAGGTCATTTGAAAACTGCTCTATGGTTTCTGTAGAGCTGCTCAGTGTGGGGCATATGCACTGATAATAGTTGCAAGTTGTTTTTGGCTGAGGAGCAGATATAGCTTCATCAATCTTTTGTTGATGCAAATGGTCAGTGTAAAGTAGATCATTATAAAACCAGGGCACCTAATAGGATGTCACCACATACAACCAGAAACACTGGTTATAACATGAGCATTATAAAAGAGAACCATCGAAGCACTGGGAGAGTTGTACATTTTCTTTCTTCTGTTTGACACTTATGAGTAAAATATATTCATAACCTGATTGAGTTTAATTGATTATATTTTATAGGCAGGTCATAAAGTTGTTTCATCAGAATTTTCTGTATGATGAAATCCACATTAGTCTGTGCTATCCTTCTCCAGAAGTTGTAGCTGTTGGCAAACTCATTGAGGGATCCCTCATCTACAAACTTGCTTTTATTCAGTGCTGTGATGTCTATGCTGTAGGGCTCAAGTTTTTTTTTTATTTACCTATGAGGGCTGTTCTCCTTTCAGCTCTTGACTAGAAACATAAAATGTTTACACTTTAATTAAAACAAGTGTAAACATTTTATGTTTCTAGTCAGAGTATCTTTTTTTTTGTTTTGAGATTTTGAGTTTTGATTTCAACCACATGGTAGGATGTTCTATCAGTTGCAGTTAAGTAGCTGGATGATCTAGGGCAGACACCTTATCTAGGTTGCTTCCTGATTACAGTCATGGGAAGCCCTTTTTAGGATACTGCCAGACTCCTCTTTTGCTCTGTGTTTAGAGGAGAATGCTCATCTATCAACAGCCACCTGTGTGTGGGAAATCGTTAGAAAGATCTGTACAAAAACTTGCTGCATGAAGAAAACAACAATAGTAAGATTTTGAAAAACACCTAATGATTTTATATATTTATATGTAATATTTATAATATGTGTCTTTTTACAGAGAATTATTAAAATTGTTTTACTTACGTGTGGGTTTTCAGAAAAAAAATTGTTTTACTTTAACAGGTTTTGTGCATTATATATATATATATATATATATATATATATAGTATATCTGGCCACTTGTATTCAATGATGCTCATCTACTCGCATGGCTAGCCAATCCCTATTGCAGGCACTTACTAAAAAAAAGAACAAGATGAATACCTCTGCAGATTAAATAAAAGGTTCAGTTTGAAATAGCCTGAAGATAACCTGAATCAACAGACACTTGAAGAAGGCTAGAAGGTACAGCAGCCAAAATGTTGATGACATTGGCCCAACTGTAAAGAAATATTTAATACTATTTATAAAATGTTATATTCATCTGAAGAAGGTTGGAAAACTGGTCAGTTGAAATATGGTAAAAACAATAAAAATGAAGATACTTGTACAAATAATTGCACTCTCATGTCATTTACTAGGCTTATTATAAACATAGGATATGGTTGGCCACTCACTTCGAAGTATACTCATCTATTATAGAGTCTAGTTAATCCCCGTTGCAGACACTTGCTCAGGTATATTTGTATTTCTTCAATACCCATGTTGCCAACCAGTGGTTTATATTGCAACTATGTTGAGCAGACCTTAGTTACAGATTCCAGAAGAGAATATATAACATAGCATGATTACCAGTTTGACCTACTCTATTGATATCTCCATGGCAAACTCATCTATTATAGAGGCTAGTTAATCCCTTTTGCAGACACTTGTTCAGGCACATTTGTGTTTATTCAACACCTACAGAGCCCACCTGTGGTTTATACTGCAACTATTCTGGGCAGACCTTAGTTACAGTTTCTGGGAGAGAGTGTGTTATCTAGCATGATCAACAATTTGAACAAGGCCAGCACGCTCGAGCCCTTGGCCACAATGATTGTGACTTTGCGCTAGCACAGCTATCAATGCCCCCTAAGTGTTCCGTCTGCCCAATTTCATTCACAGGGCTTGGGTCAACCCGTGGCATGGTTTTCAGGAACTTTCCAAAGGTGCCTAATGCTGGGATTGATCCCTCCATTCCAATAACATCAGGAAGTCTCTTTCCTGTCAAATCGACCATGGCATGATTCAAACCCAGGTCAGAATGCGAACATTCTAACCACTCAGCCATGTGCCCATATATATATATATATATATATATAGAGAGAGAGAGTGATGTCAAAGATAGTGTGAAGCCAAAAATGCTGACAGTCAATGGGATATTGAGAGAAAAGACATTTTCAGCAAGCAGTCCTTGCAATAAAGTGCTCAATATCAAAGATAGAGCATTAATAGGAATAATATGAGTAAGAATTTGTCACTTAGCTGATTGATGTTACCTTCAGCATCCTAACTCCAGAGTTTTGTGGACTGACCTCTCCATCTACTCTTCAGCGGCTATCATCAGCAATTTACTGCTTATATTTTTTTGATTTTTTTCTTTTTATATACATTTAACATTAGTGCAAGTTTTTTTTTTAAAAAAATATGTTGGAACCATCAAGACAATGGCATGATGGAAACTAATTTTCACTTCTTCCAGTCTTTTTGTTTATATTGTTTGGGACTGTTCCCAGTGCTCCACTAATGACTAGCATAACTGTCATCATGCTCTACAACTTTCTCCTCTTTCTAACAAGCTTGAGATACTTATTTATCTTTTCACTTTCTTTCACATCTACTCTGCAGTTTGCTGGAACAAAAAAATTAAATTATCTTACATGTTTTATTTTTCTTCCTTATTAGTACTAGATCCTTTCTTCAAACCTGGACTGGGCAATCCATTTGGATAGTTAAGTCCCAGAGGATTTTCTGTGTTTCATTCTCTAGAACAGACTTTGGTCTATGCATATAACATGGGTCTGTATTGTTAAAATGCAATTGCTTGCACAGTGGATCATCTTCTCTATGCAGTTGTGCCTATTGTATTATTTTCAAACCAATTAGCTACAATTTTTATTATGTTCTTAACAGTCTCATCTTTATTTCTACAAACTCTACATTTGCTATTTTCCAGTGTTTTATTCACCTTTGTCTTTATATATTTGGTTCTTATAGTATTATTTTGAGCTGTTATTATGAACACCTCATCTTCTATTTTAAGGTTTCCTTCATATAGTCATATCCATGTCAATTCATCATTCTTTTTTTATTTGTCTTCTAAAAGTTTCATTTTTTTATTTTCAGTTTTTATCTTTGTGTTTTTTGAGTTTCTATTCACCCTTTTGTTCAGCTTGATACAGTTTTTGGTTTGCTCTTTGCTGTCTTGTCTATTCTTTTGAATCTTACAGAACTAATGTAATTCTTCTTCTTCTTACTATTATTATTATTAACCTGTCTAGATAGACATTTCTTTATTACTGATGCTACATGTACAAATACTACTATATTATTAAGGTAAGTGCTGGAGAGTAAGTTAACAAGCCATTGCAATTGTATTTGATCTTCACTGATGCCCAATTAGTGTGACCTTGTGCCAAACTAAGATCGGTAACTCTCTACACTATTATTAATATTATTATTCCTCATATCTTCATTGTGTTAGTTATTATTATTAACCTCTTTCAACATTTATTGTTTATACCATACCTATTACTACTATTAATATTTATAATAATAACCTTGTAGTTATTGTTGTTATAATAATCACTCAGATATTACAATTACTTATATCATCATTAATGTAAAGTTTGTACTGATTATTATCCTTCTTTATCATTGTTATCATCAAGTATGTTAACTATTTTTCTTTGTCAGGCACTAAAATATGATTTATGATTTTTTTTTTCTGCTTGTTTTACTCTCTGCTCACAAAGTATATTTGTTAAGTGTAGAAAATATTGTTATTCTGTATTTATTCTTGTCTTCTGCTTTCAGTCAAGTGTGACAGACAAGCAGATTTTGTTATTGGCACTGCCCAAAAATATCTCCTCATCATCAAGGCATCTTTTTATTTATTTTTTGACGAGATTTTATCTCTTAGATATTTTTTGGTTTATTGTAACAAATTCTTTTCTTTATTTCTTGGCTTTTCTTTTTTTTTTTCCATGACTTTCATGTCATATCATTTCTGACATTTTTTTCATTTCATGTTTTTCTCTTTTTTTGCGGTCCTTCTCAATTTTTTCCATTCTTCCTTTTACTTTTTTCTCTCTTTTCTTTTCTGTTTTCTTTCCATTCCTCTTTTTATCTTTTCTTTCTTTCCATTCTTTCTTTCTTCTTTGGTATTTAAATTTAAAAAAAATAATGTTCTTCTTCTTCATTTATTTTCTCCTCCTTTATTGTTCCTTTACAACTCTTTCTTTTCTCTCTTTACTTTTTCCTTTGTAGTTTTTATCTTTTACTTTCTGTTCTTCTTTTCACTAATAAATCTTATCAGATTTCAAAACTAACATTCAACTGCATATTTTTTTCTCACCCTTCTCTACTGGCATACTCATCTTCCATATCTTTCCTTACAGGTTTTAACATTTTAATAACAACAATAAAACTGATACTGATGACAATCTTTTTTCCACTAAACTAAAATTATATGCAAGGCTAACTGCAGACAGAGCATTATGTCCAAATTATGTTTTCCTCCTTTCTTTACATGATATTTTTTTCATGTGTAGGACATTGTCTGTATAATTCAGTGGTCTCAACTGTTAAGTAGGTTGAAATATGGGCCATTGTGTGCAGATGTGGATCATTTTACCATGAGGAAATTATATTTGAATATTATTTTACTGAGATTGTCCTCTTTTTACCTTATAGCAATATCTTTTGAAATAGAATTGTAGAAGATAAATATAAAAAATGTAGCAACATTTTTTTTAATAAGGCTAGTAAATGCCATTGGAGTATTATTAATTGGAATAGTATCTTTTTTATTGCTTTTATCATGTTTTTAATAAGGTTGTAGATGTCATGGGATTGCTTTTACTATGTTTCTCTTTTCGTGGGCTAATGGCCAAGTGGTTAAAACATTAACAACCTGACCATGAGACCTGGATTCAAATCTCATGATAAACAATTTTTTAAGAAAATGATTTCTTGTTAATGTTATCTGGGGGAGATTATCCCAATGTGCAGCACTGTTAGGAAGTGACCCAGATTTTGTTATTGAAATTGGTTAGATGAAACTGTTCAGAAGTTGTTGATGGTTATGCTAGTCTGAAATCACAAGTCATCATGACTGAAGTTTGCCATGGAGATATCAATAGAGTAGGTCAAACTGGTAATCATGCTATGTTATATATTCTCTTCTGGAATCTGTAACTAAGGTCTGCTCAACATAGTTGCAATATAAACCACTGGTTGGCAACATGGGTATTGAAGAAATACAAATATACCTGAGCAAGTGTCTGCAACAGGGAATAACTAGCCTCTATAATAGATGAGTATACTTGGAAGTGAGTGGCCAACCGTATCCTATGTTTATAATAAGCCTAGTAAATGACATGAGAGTACAATTATTTGTACAAGTATCTTCATTTTTATTGTTTTTACCATATTTCAACTGACCAGTTTTCCAACCTTCTTCAGTTGAATATAACATTTTATAAATAGTATTAAATATTTCTTTACAGTTGGGCCAATGTCATCAACATTTTTGCTGCTGTACCTTCCAGTTTTCTTCATGTGTCTGTTGATTCAGGTAATCTTCAGGCTATTTCAAACTGAACCTTTTATTTAATCTGCAGAGGTATTCATTTTGTTCTTTTGTTTTTTAGTACTGCTACTTTATTGTTAGTCCTGATACCACTTAGTTTAAACTGTACTAATCTGAATAAAGCATAATGATACTGTATTTTAGAGGTATGGCTGATTCTGAAGATAGAATTTTTTCTGGCTTGTAATTTTCAGTATCTCAAAAACCAAGTTAGTATTGTTTTCTCATCACCATTCAGACCCTCAGTTTTTTCTAGCCATGTTGCACAGTTCCATTCTCAATGAGACTCTGTGCCTTGAGTGTCTATTGGGTCTCCAAAGTGCAACTGGAACTCAAACATACAATCTATTGATAAAATTGCTGGAAAAATTGTAGGCTCATCCTATTGCCCCAGTAAGTATCTGATATACTTTATCTTTACAAGAGTCAGATTAAACTATGAATTCCAACAATATCAAAAAACAAAGATGTGAGTGTTGCACTTATATATATATATATATATTGAGTGTGCGTGTGTATATATATATATATATATATATATATATATATATAAGCACACTGTTGTAGCATACCTATGGATGATAATGGGTATGTCCCCATTCACATAAATACAGTAGTAAATACTGTATGTTGGTCTGCAGTTAGATTCATTGTGGAATTCACTTATCTCAATTTTAGCAGTTGACTACTTCTATGTGTCACTGACAAATCTTATATGTGTTGTTTGTGTCCTAAGTATTATCGTTCATTATCAACCTTTGTTTGATTATTCTATTCAGTAACCTTCCCTAGGTTACAACACACACACACACACACTCATATATGTATACATGTGTGTGTGTATGCTATAGTTGTATATTGAGGTGGTTTATTGTTTGTGAGTAAAAGCAAAAAGGTGTGTGATGTCAGTGCAACGCTATCAAGATACTTTTTATCTGTGTGAGTATTTGTGTTTGTGATCGTAAGGGTATATCTATTCCATAGCACTACTTTGTGTGTGTGTGTAGAATTTAAGGCATGTTCATTAACAAAACTATTAAAGATCTAATTGTCTTTTCGAGATGCACTGAGTAGCGTTAATTCATCGCCGCAAAGACATCTTAGTTGTACTTATTATTACATGCTTTAGCACATTCCATACTTTAGAGCTTCCATACCATAGTTTTCCTTTATATAACCTGCTGAGGCATTAAACACCAACTTTTTAATCCTAACAATGAGTAGACAATATGAAAGTGGTGCAAGTAAAAAAAAAATAAAGTCAAAAAGATATAGCCAAACATTTAAAGCCAATCATATCATTTGGCTTTGCATATTTGAAACAATCAAGTTCAACAGCAGATCCAGAAGATTCAGATGCATTACTTGGCACCCAGGAACATTTGTCAGTAAATTACATAGTACTAGTAGCACCCATGAACATTTTTAGTAACTCCAAGTACCAGTGGCATCCCAGAACCTTCGTCTGTAAATCCAAGTACCATGCCCACTCAGGAACATTTGTCAGTAACTCCAATTAACACAGACACAGAAGCTTTAGTTTCTCCCACCAAATGTACAGAAGTGAGTGTTTGTTCTACTGATTTCATTGTCAAGAATGATGTAGGTTTATGGATCACATTGAGTGATGAAGAAATTTCATACTTGATAGAAAAAGGCCCTTTGAAATGTCATCACTGATATAGACCTTTCACAACTTTGAAGAGAACCTACAAAAAACAATCTTGTTCTTGCTCAAGAAGTTTATTCTTCTCTACTAAAATAAATGAAGAAACCAACCCTTGAGAATTGGTCCAAGAAAACATGGTCAGATGTTTACAACAAAGCTTGATGAGCAAATCAAAGCAGAACAGGAATACTGGAGACATGTACTTTAATGGGTGATGGCAGTGATTTGTTTGTTGGCAGAACATGGATTGGCTTTTAGAGGAGATGATGAAACCATTAGCTCTCGAAACAATTTCTTGGTTTGCAAATTTAATCCCTTCCTATGTACCCACATTAACCAGTATGGAAATAAGAGATCTGGCCATCCATCATACACTTGTTCAAGACCATATGTGAAGAAGTTACCCAGCTAATGGCTAAAAAGTTCTTGAAGAAATAGTGAAAGATATCAAAAAAGTAGTGTATTTTAGTGTATCAGTCAATTCAATGCCTGATGTTTCCAATGTTGATCCACTCACTGTAATTGTTAGATATGTTTCTCTCCTTGATGAAATACAAGTTGAACAATTTTTGGCATTTATTGAACTGAAGAATCACATGGGTCAAGGAATGGCTGAACTGATACTGAACTTCTTTAAAGAACTTGAAATTGATTTTAGTAAATGCATATGACAATACAGCTAACATGGCTGGAAAGTATAATGGCATTTGACACAAAATTCTAGGAAAGAATAAGTTTGCAAAGTTCATTCCCTGTGCTGGACATTCCCTAAATCTGACTGGAAGAGCTGCAGTTGACTCTTGCCTGGATGCAGTGAATTTCTTTGGCATGATCAATGAACTTTATTGCTTTTTATCTGCCTCTACAAGACGGTGTGTTCATGCTTCATCTATGGATAGGTTTAATTGAGAAATTTCATAAAATAAGTAATGCCCTTCAAAGTGCACAAATTTCATTGACCACATGTGCAAACCTATACAGTTCACTTCTGCAATTTGCTTCTAGCACACGGGAAAATTTTGATTAGACTGAAGAGCAAGCAAGAATTGCTCTACCTGATGTAGAATACAAAACTTGCTGACAATTTTTTGTTTTTACCTGATCTGCAAGCAATGAGGGAACAAATTCTTCATGGTGTCAAGAGACTAGAACAGGAATATCCAAAGGACTTTGGTCTCAATCTTGTTGATAAACTCTTTACTTTCCACTTGTATGTCAAACAGGCAAAGTTTCTGCCACCAGGATATGTACCAGATAATAAAACAGGAAAAAGTCCAAACTGTTTTTCCAAATATGGAAACAATTTTCAGATTGTTCCTGTGTTTGATGACAACTAAATGTCCTGGAGCGAGATCATTTTCCATTCTGAAAAGGATCAAAAGTGACCTTCGTTCAACAATATCACAATAACGGTTGTCTGGTCTGAGTATTCTCTGTATGGAGAATAATGAATTGTGATTTATTGATTTTGATGAGTTTGCAGTTAGGAAAGCTCGAAGTAAGATATTTTGACATTAAATTACCTACCATAAATGGGTAAATAGCCTTAATAGAGTAATAAGAAAACATGGTAATTTAATTATCTGACTGTTTTCTGTAAACAAACTTCTTCACCAATCATCACTGTATGATTTAAGATTTGTTATTTTCAATAAAGTTTAAGATTAAAAATTTTGTCACTCTTCAAAGGTTAAAATGCTATATAATGTTTAAATTTAATTACATGATATTGACTATAATGACTGTCTTGTCTGTTTTTTTTTCATCAAGTTTGATTATTTCATCATGTGACCTATGGAAACGGTGTTGAGTTGATTGGGGCTTTGGTTAGTATATAATGGCTTTCAAGTTTGTTGTAAAGTACATATCTGAGGGCTAACCTGAAGTGGTCAAAATGGTGACAAATCTAAAAGGTACTTAAACTACAAAAGGACAAAGGGAAGTAAAACAATACAATTTATGTGCTGTGGTAACAGAACAAATATATTTCAGTAGATTCAATGATGACATCACACATTTATTCTTATATCGTAGATCAATTTCTCAGTAATGCTTTTCAAATGACATTTCCTGATGCTTTTCTAAAAGAACAGAAATTTTAAAAATGATTTTCCAGCTTGCCTTCAGAATGGCTTATGACATTTTGGTCACATGACTTATGACATCTGCTTGATTTATATGTTAGGTAAATTTACATTTTGAAATGTAATAGAGAAGCAACTGTTGTAAGCTGATTTTTCTGGCTTTATGAATAAATTGGTGTGGATTTTTAATTTCTTTTTAGAAACTAGACTGACTATAATTTTACAAAATAGTTATGGTCAATTGTTTATAAGTGTGTATCCAGAAAATACTCAACAATGTATAGTAAAATTTATGGTTTCTTCTTTTTTTTTTTTATTTTATATTTAAAAAAAAATGTATTTATACATATATGTGTTGAGATTGAGGTTTCTAAGTGTACAAAACAATGTTTGATATTAATTTCTTGATCTTTTGTCCATTAAACCTAAATAAATGCATAAAAGATGTTACTTTGTTCACAGTTTACATCAATTTTCATTATATTTGTTATTTTTACTCCTTATTGTTCATGAAATTTGATAAAATATTAGTCAGAATATGAGGTCATATAAAAAGCATTAACTTTCTTGATAGTTTCTTTTTTTTTAGCATCTCAAGTTTGGTTTACTTAAAAGAAAAATTTCTTTTATATATTTTATCATTTTTGTAATCTGCTGCGATATTTGAGTGTTGTCTTTAAAAACATATAATGTCATTTATACACTATTCACTGTATTTGGAGCATTGAATTTATCGTGTATGTAGTGTGGGGAGGTTGGCCAAAAAGCTGTTGGTATGCTTATATACTGTGAATAATACAACATAAAATGAGTGCATTTGAATGCTCCCTGGTGAGTGAAATCATGATGCTAACCATTACAGATTTAACTTTTTATTTATTTTTATTTATTTTAAATGCACAATGTTTTAAACATCACAATTGTTGGAGTTCAGAAAATTATTTTATTATGCTGCTTACTTTATGGAAGTTAAATTTTGCTTGCCACATCTTGTTATAATTCATGTGACATGGTTGATAAGAAAGGTTATGGATTATTGTCTTGGACTATAAAATAACTTCCAAAGATCATCATTAACCTTTGTTGCATAAACATATAAGATAGTGATTTAACTTAATATAGGAAAAAATAATGATTTTTTTCTAAAATTAGGATTGAAGAGAAGTTTTGGCAAACTTTGACATTTATACTTGCAAAAAATGGTCTGTTATATGGACAGTTTTTCTCTTTACACTGCTGTTACTGCATGCTCACTTAGTAATTTTTATTGTTTTAAAAAGCTATTTTTAGAATTATAATAAAACCCAAACATATTAAACTAGATTAATACATTCTCTTTTTTCTAAAGAATTGAGAACAAAAGTATTAATCACTTTTCTTGTATTAAACAGTCTAATAAATAAATAAATAGTATTTAACATTTTTGTCATCATTTCTCAAAAAAAAAAGGTATAAAACCAGATGCTCTCAAACTATTTTAGTAGATTTATATAGTGAGAGCAAAAGAAAGAAATGACTGGAAAATGTATTTTTCAAAATATATAATTACTGTTACTCATATTTATGTGTTCAATTGAAATTGTAAATTTTATGTTGAAACATCTGGACATAACATTATGTTGGCCTTTTCTTCTTTTTTTTAAAATCGCTGAAAAGCTTTGGAGATTTTTTGCCTAGTAAACAAATTTTATTTACACTATTTGTATTCAGACTATCAACCACAAGAGGCCTCACTAGCTGAAAGATAGTTTTCCAAAATTAGACAAGATGCAGGTTTAATCCTTGCCAAGAGGCATATTTCTTTTTAATAAAACTTTCAATTGTCCAGGCTAGTAGATGTCAATTTCACTGTTTAAAAAGCAAAGGGGTCTACTCAAACATGTGTAGCCATTAAATATAATTTTTATGGTAAAAAGAAATAATTGCATTAAAAAAATCTATTAAGTACTTATAAAATAATGACCGGCTACTTGTTTCTGAGCACACCTGTCTGCCAGAATGGCTAGCAAATCCTTATTACAGATGCCTGCTCAACCTACAGAGTCCACATATTATTTATACTGCAACTATATTAGGCTATCCTTAGTTACAGTTTCTAGGAGAGAGGATAGAATCTAGTGTGGTCAATTTCTTTTTCTAACAAGGCCAACATGCTTCAAACTCTCGGTCATGATGGCTTGCGACTTCATGCTTGTAAAAGCATTGACAGCTTCGAAAAGATTCTGTCTACTGAATTTCACTCACAAAGCTTGGGCTAAAATTTTGTACAGTTTTCAGGCACCACAAAGATGAGGACAATAGTCTGCATATAAATAGTGTAAATAATGATAACTCCTCATTCCAGAAATTTAAACAAAAATGAAACAAATTTAAGTTAAAATCTGTTTATGCATACACACACACACACACACATACGCACACAAATACACATGTATACCTATGTTGATTCTTATATAGTAAATTTATTATTCAATTAATGAAACATTATTCCATAAATTATTTGAATTAGTATCCTTACTTTTGTTGTTTTTAAACAGTGTTCAATATGTTTTTTTTAGCTTTCCTCAACTTGTATTCAGTGTTGACCAGTAACTACATGTTTTCATTTTTCAATCAGAAAACTTTGATACTCAAATCTGGTAACTATGTCTACTAAGAAGGTTAAACATTTACTGGGTAATACTCTATGGCTTCAACATATACTAAACATATCTGCTAAAATGTGTTAAAAACAACAAAGATAAAGATAATAATTCAAATAATTTGTGGAATAATAAGAATTGTTAACTAGAGAACCTAACACCATTAATGAAATATTTTATTTATTTTCTCATAGATTGGATGATGTTCCTGAACTTCCTATATCAGAGTCGGCAGCAGCTGAACTGGAAGTACTTCATGTTCATAAGGTATTTAATATATAAGAAAAAGTAGTAGATGTGAAAGTTATTTGCAAGGATATATATATATATATTTTCCCTATCTTGCAACTATACTTCCAAATGATAATATATATATAATGTTCTGTTATGGTGTACTTATTTGTGTTTATATTCTCTTTTCTTCAAAAGTAACAGGATTAACATCACTCTATTTTTATCTAAGTTTGTTTCTTTTAGTGCAGCCTGGTTCAGCATGTTGTATCATCATTCATTGTCCAATGGTAAAATCAACTATTTAAAAGTGTTTTTAACCAGTTTCTTTTGTTATGAAAAATGCACATCCATTTTTTTTTCAATACTGTTGATCACAAAAACTGATCATATATATGAGAGTCAGCTGAAATGATCATAGGCTGACCAAAATACTCTCATGGAATGTGAACAAATAAGTTTTATTTTTCAACATAGTCTCCCTTGCAACATAGTCTCTACACACTTTTTCCATTGGTGTTGCAGTACTTGGATCCCATTGATGAAGAAGCTTTCATCCTGTCAGTCAAAAAATCATTAACAGCAGATATGGCATTATATTTTTTCATGTTGGGGAAGAGATGATTGTTAAATCAGGAGAATAGGTAGGGTGATCAACAAGTTCAATATCATAGTCATGCATCACAGCTATGGAAACCAAGAACCAAGAACTCATGTGCTGGAGCATTGTCTTGATGAAACAAAATCGTTTTCATCAGTTTTCCTGGGCGTTTGGTCTTGATAGCCTTTTGTAACTGCCTCAGCAAGTTGGCATTGTACTCTTCATTGATAGTGTGGTCCTTTTGATGTTAGTCAATAAACACAATGCCTTTTGCATCCCAAAAAACTGAGGTCATCATGTTTCCTGCAGATGAAATGATCTTGGCCTTCTTTGGAGCAGGTGAGGAGGAGGGTTTCCACTGCATGGATTGTCTCTGGTTTAAAGTGATGAAACCAACACTCATCCTGGGTTATTTCTAACCCAGGATGAGTGTTGGTTTCATCAAAGAAACTAGCTGGATCTGCCTCAAACAATTTCAAGATTTTCCTGTGTATATAAGGTGTCAGATATGTCACCCACCAAGCAGAAACTTTCATCATACCAAGTTCATTATGCAAAATATTCTCAACTCTCCCATTGGTTTTTGATTTATTGTCATTTGCATGTCATTCATCATCATATGGTGAACACAATCAAGGTTTACTTTGGTGGTGGCAGTTGCAGGATGTTTAGACCTTGGTTCATCTTCAAAACTCTCTTTTCCCCTCCTAAATTCAGCTGTCCACATTTGCATTGTTAATAAAACTGGAGTGTGTCATCCGCTAATATAACAACCACGTCAGCATGAATGTCCCTGGTGGTTAAATCCCTTTTTTGCAGGTAACTGATAATACCATGATGCCAAATTTTGTTCATTTTCAAGAGAAGTTGCTACTAGTTATCTGTCCTTGCTATGACGATAAACTACGTCTGCATCCTGGGTAAGACGATAAACTATGTCCATCAGCAAGGACCTAGGGTGGTAGTTAGGGGTAAATAATTAACCCCAAAACTGGGGTCAAAACACTATGAAATTGTAAAAATAGGTTTTAATACCAGAAATACTTTGCAAAAAAATTATTACCAGCAATACATTTTTGAAAAAAATTACCAGCTATACATTAAAAAAAAAAAAATATTACCAGCAATAAAAATTTTGTTGGCATTAAATAACCTATTGAGGTTGATATACCATAAACCAAAGCAAACTACTAGTTTTTTCTTTGAACAGTCACATGTCAGTTTACCTGAAAAGAAACAATGCAGTTATAAATAAAAATAGTTGAAATTAATGCATGCAGCTCTAGCATCGCACCTTCATAGTTAGCCTATGAACTTTTCTGCCTACCCTCATATATACAAAAAAATTCATGATACTTATCTATGCTTGACTAAAAGTTGGTGATGTTAATGCTCCTCAGAGTCAGATAAGAATATCTTATTTATTTATCATGTATAGATATTATCATTAGATTTCTAACCCGGAAAAACTATCTTGAAACTTAGCATGCTTTTAACGGCTCAACCACAAGAGACCTCACAGCAAAGTGACTGTGCAGTTAAAAGCATAACTAGCTGAAAGATAGTTCTCTAAGGTTAGAGGGGATGCAGTTTCAATCTTTGCCAAGAAGCATATTTTTTTAATAAAACTTTCAATTGCCCAGTAGATGTCAATTTCACTGTTTAAAAAGCAAAGGTGTCTACTTAAACATGTGTAGCCATTAAATATAATTTTTATGGTAAAAAGAAATATTCAGATTAAATAATTACAGTTTCTAGGAGAGAGCACATAATCTAGTGTGGTCAATTTCTTTTTCTAACAAGGCCAGCATGCTTCAAACTCTTGGTCATGATGGCTTGCGACTTCATGCTAGTAAAAGCAGTGACAGCTTCCAAAAGATTCTCTGTACCAAATTTCACTCACAAAGCTTGGGCTAAAATTTTGTACAGTTTTCAGGCACTTTCCAAAGGTGCTGCACACTGGGTCACCTCCCTAAGTTTATTCAATTAAGAAATCATCTCTATAACAAATTGACCATGGTGAGGTTCGAACCTGGATCTCATGGATAGAAAACAAATGGTCTAACCACTTGCCCATGTCCCCATATCTCTCTCTCTCTCTCTCTCTCTCTATATATATATATATATATATATATATATATATATATATATATATATATATATATATATATCTCTGTGATGAAGTATTATGATTATTTACATTATTTGGACTGTTATCCTCATCTTCATTGCTATATTCACAATGTTTTGGCTGTTGTACATTCCAGCCTTATTCAGGTGATTGAAATTTTGAACTGAACCTTTATTTTGTCCACTGGGGTGGACTGTTCTAGTTCCACATGCCATGCCTCTTCCGAATGTTTCAGTTATTTCCCTTCTCGACTTTTCAAGTTTTTTGGTATTGAACTCACAACACTTTGGGGTTAGTCACTGGATCTAACCAATACCTTTATCCACTGGGTCATGTGTCCTTGAGGACATCTGTGTATGAATTTCTGGGAGTTATAAACCTAATTTATCAGCAACCGTTTTTACCAGTGCTCATGTCGCAATTTTTCCATTATATATTATTGCATATTTCTTAACAGAGATTATATTGAAATTTTGTGTTGTTATTCATTGCTTTTTACTAGCACTTCTTATTACTGGTTTCCATATTGTATTCATTTCTATGATTGGTTGGCTGAGGAAATAACTGGGAAATCCAGAAGAGGCATGGCATGTGAAACTAGAACAATCTACTTAGTGGATGAAATAAAGAGATCGGTTTGAAATTCCAATTACTTGAAGAAAGCTGGAGCATACAACAGCTAAAACATTGTGAATATGGCAATGTAGATGAAGATACCAGTCTGAATATATATATATATATATATATATATATATATATATATATATATATATATATATATATATGCACACACACAGTTGTGCTGAAAGTTGTTAGTGCAAGCAGTTTTTTAGAATAAGACCAAATAACTAAATATCAGAATCTTTGGAGCAATCCCTTCTTGTTTGGGCCAAAAGATTTTCAGCACCCCTCATATACATTATCAGATTCTGAAAAAAATATATGAGAGACATATGTATATGGAGTTATCCCATTGCCTACAGGATTACATGTTTAGAATATGTCTGTTCATATACATCTGTCATATCTCGATATAGTTTCCTAGACCCTGCTGGTTGATGCTTGTATAAACACTATAAAAAATCCAAGACTCTTGTTGTTTGCGTATTAATCTGTAACTTAAGATAATAACTTTTCAAAAGTAAAATAAATAAATAAAAGCAACAACTTCTTGGTATCTCTCTCTCTTTCTCATACTTGATTTTTTTATTTTTTTAACTATCCCCTTTTTTACAAAAAAATTATTCACACTATCCATTCTTGTGGGTGCGTCTGTCTGTGCTTGAGCGAGCGAGTGTGAGTCATTTTGAAAATGACTACTCTGCTGGAACAGAAATTTCACAATTCACTTTCTCTTTTTTTGTGTCTGAATTTGAAAAAGAATTCTTTTTTTTTTTTAATCTTAAGAAATTACTTTGTATGTGCACTGCTAATGTTTCATAATCTATGTTATAATGTTGTCTTTTCACAGACTCTTGCATACTTTTCCATTCTATTTAATAATCTCCAATGATTAAATTCATGGCACTAATCTTCAAATGTGTATGTGTATTACTTTTGGGTCCAATGTGATTTTGTTTGTTTTTACTATACAATGAGTAACTCAGATATTAGGTTTTCGATAACTGGCTTTGTTTATTGCTTAAAAAAGGAACTTCAGTTAGAGTTTCATGAATTTACAATAACTAAATATGTACAAACTAAGTTAAAATTGTTTTGCTAATAAGCAGATAATGTTTACATTTCCTCATATTCTCTCAGTAACCCCTTGTGTCTTAGTGACTTTATTACCGTACTTGGGGTGAAATGATTAAAAAAAAATTCCAGTAACTGTGATACAATTTAAGACTGCATTCTATTTATATTTTTACAACAAAGATTTTTGATGTAAAGATGAGTGTAAGTTGATTTTCTTCAGATATATTTTTCATAGCAGTCTCCTTATTTGAAATGTTCATAGAAATGGACATTTGTCTAATACAGAAAAGGCTCATGCATTTTAATAAATATTACTCACAATTTGCATGAGAATGCTGAATCAGTATATTGATTTAGAGAAGCCACTATGTAATTTCAACAGCTGGTGAGTCTCTTAATCTCTAGCTGCTTTGCTTGTCTCTTTGAGGCAAAAGGCAGTGTAGATTTGTTTAGAGAAGCTGGTATTTCTGAGTTGACTGACCATAACTTGTTGCAAGGTCTTGCCGTTATCTATTTTCAGGAGATGTTTTTGAATTTACTCAAAACTATCGGTGATTGTTTGATAGTTCTCTTTTTATAATCTCTTTTCTAGTACTTCTGCAATTT